TGTAGCAAGAAATCAACACAGAATCTATGTCACTAGACATCTTTGGTGAGATCCTATTCCTATGAGCTATCAAGTGCACTACGTACCATAACAAAACATAACAAAACAATGCAATCACTGATCACATTCAATCTGACGCAGGATGGTTTTTCGTTACCGTTCACTTCCATTTCATCACCATCTCATGATGCTTCTGTGATGTCATTTTGGTACACGAGCAACATCAATCGATAGCGAGAACATGGAGGAATCGTGTCATGCTGAGGCTTCAACTGCTGGATGTGTTCGGCTCCAAGTCGGTGAGTTGGGAGTTGGTGCAAGGCTTTGGCGCCTCTAGTTGAATCATGTTGAATCGAGGCATAACTATGACTTTTATGTCTCGAAAGATATCGAATGATCTGGAAAACATGGGAGCTACAGCAGGATACATTGGTGACAAAGCAAAATGTGAGCTTTTTTTCCATTTGTTTCAGAGGCTCGTGCTATACAAGATACAAGATTAAAAAAAGAGTCAAAGCATATCAAAGCAATGTCGAAACTTCATGTTGATGGTCTTCACCTTCAGCGCTGGGAAGCCTCCACGACATCCTTGAAGGTGTAGAAACCCTTGGCGGCAGCCACTGCATCCAATGGATTCACCTTCGAGAACATGTTGTTGGTGACGGTGGAATCAACGACGCCGGCCATGGAATTGTACACATCCATCACAGTGGCCTTGGGCACAGATGCCACAATGCGACCAATGGCTGCGTTCACAGCTTCGTAGTCGGCCGCGGATGTAACACCCTTGGCATCAATGCTGCCAATGGCCTTGTGGTGTGCCTCTGCTGCTGCCTTCAAGAGGTTTCCATCCATCTTCGCGCCCATCACGATCATCTTGTCAATGGCTTTCAGGGTCTCTGGGGCAGTCTTGCCGGGCAGCGGCTTCAGGTAAATGTCCGACAGCCAATCGATGTCCTTGATGAAAGGATAGGATGCATCGGACAACGCTTTTGCAGCTACACCAATCTTGTCCCCAGAAGGCACAACTGCAGGAGCACTGGCGGTGGTCACCTGGTTCTTTGCAACAACATCCTTGAATTCCAGGAATCCTTGGTAGGCCTTCTCGGCATCGGGTCCGTTCACCAAGGACTTCATGTAAGCTGGCACTTTGGAGTCCGTGATGTCTTTCACTGAATCGTAAACAGCCATGACCTTTGCTTTGGGGACCGAAGCGACTACACGGCCAAGGGCTGCATTCACCGCATCCCAGTCAGCACGCGAAGTCACACCATTTGGCCCACTGATGCTCCCGATGGCCTTGTGATGTGCTTCTGCTGCCTCTTTGAGAAGCTTGGGATCCGCGGCTGCCCCCATTTCGATCATCTTGTCAATTGCTTTCAACGCCTTCAAGGGCTGAAACTTGCCAGGGGCTTGGAGGAAAATTCCATTGTTCCAATCCACTTCCTTGGCAAAAGAGTAGGAAGCATCTCCAAGCTTCTTTGCAGCATCGCCGATCTCATCAGCAAAAGCCGCAGGAGCCATCATCATGCTGGCTGCTGCTGCGGCCACTGGAGCAGCATGCCGAGGCCCAGGCACAAAATTCAAGTGCTGCTGGACACTGCAGGCAACAGCCACCGCAACTCCGACAGCAACAGCTTTCCTTGCTCCACGCACCATGGCCACCAAAAACTAAAAGTGGGCCGGAGTTGCTCAAAAATTAGCCTCTGAAACTGGCTCGAACCATGTACCGCAGGATCATTGGGATGAGTAGATAAACCAAATAAAGCCAGGCCAGGCCCCAGCCACGTTAATCCATGAAAATCCTACCTACTGCTGTCGATTCTGCACTCAAGAAGACAGACTCAAACGGACAAGGACTGCCAAAGACGTACTGTATCTTGTAGCAAGAAATCAACACAGAATCTATGTCACTAGACATCTATGGTGAGGTCCTATTCCTATGAGCTATCAAGTGCACTACGTACCATAACAAAACATAACAAAACAATGCAATCACTGATCACATTCAATCTGACGCAGGATGGTGTTTCGTTACCGTTCACTTCCATTTCATCACCATCTCATGATGCTTCTGTGATGTCATTTTGGTACACGAGCAACATCAATCCATAGCGAGAACATGGAGGAATCGTGTCATGCTGAGGCTTCAACTGCTGGATGTGTTCGGCTCCAAGTCGGTGAGTTGGGAGTTGGTGCAAGGCTTTGGCGCCTCTAGTTGAATCGAGGCAAAACTATGACTTTTATGTCTCGAAAGATATCGAATGATCTGGAAAACATGGGAGCTACAGCGGGCAATACATTGGCGACAAAGCAAAATGTGAGTTTTTTTTCCATTTGTTTCAGAGGCTCATGCTATACAAGATACAAGATTAAAAAAAGAGTCAAAGCATATCAAAGCAATGTCGAAACTTCATGTTGATGGTCTTCACCTTCAGCGCTGGGAAGCCTCCACGACATCCTTGAAGGTGTAGAAACCCTTGGCGGCAGCCACTGCATCCAATGGATTCACCTTCGAGAACATGTTGTTGGTGACGGTGGAATCAACGACGCCGGCCATGGAATTGTACACATCCATCACAGTGGCCTTGGGCACAGATGCCACAATGCGGCCAATGGCTGCGTTCACAGCTTCGTAGTCGGCCGCGGACGTAACACCCTTGGCATCAATGCTGCCAATGGCCTTGTGGTGTGCCTCTGCTGCAGCCTTCAAGAGGTTTCCATCCATCTTCGCGCCCATCACGATCATCTTGTCAATGGCTTTCAGGGTCTCTGGGGCAGTCTTGCCGGGCAGCGGCTTCAGGTAAATGTCCGACAGCCAATCGATGTCCTTGATGAAAGGATAGGATGCATCGGACAACGCTTTTGCAGCTACACCAATCTTGTCCCCAGAAGGCACAACTGCAGGAGCACTGGCGGTGGTCACCTGGTTCTTTCAACAACATCCTTGAATTCCAGGAATCCTTGGTAGGCCTTCTCGGCATCGGGTCCGTTCACCAAGGACTTCATGTAAGCTGGCACTTTGGGATCCGTGATGTCTTTCACTGAATCGTAAACGGCCATGACCTTTGCTTTGGGGACTGAAGCGACTACACGGCCAAGGGCTGCATTCACGGCATCCCAGTCAGCACGCGAAGTCACACCATTTGGCCCACTGATGCTCCCGATGGCCTTGTGATGTGCTTCTGCTGCCTCTTTGAGAAGCTTGGGATCCGCGGCTGCCCCCATTTCGATCATCTTGTCAATTGCTTTCAACGCCTTCAAGGGCTGAAACTTGCCAGGGGCTTGGAGGAAAATTCCATTGTTCCAATCCACTTCCTTGGCAAAAGAGTAGGAAGCATCTCCAAGCTTCTTTGCAGCATCGCCGATCTCATCAGCAAAAGCCGCAGGAGCCATCATCATGCTGGCTGCTGCTGCGGCCACTGGAGCAGCATGCCGAGGCCCAGGCACAAAATTCAAGTGCTGCTGGACACTGCAGGCAACAGCCACCGCAACTCCGACAGCAACAGCTTTCCTTGCTCCACGCACCATGGCCACCAAAAACTAAAAGTGGGCCGGAGTTGCTCAAAAATTAGCCTCTGAAACTGGCTCGAACCATGTACCGCAGGATCATTGGGATGAGTAGATAAACCAAATAAAGCCAGGCCAGGCCCCAGCCACGTTAATCCATGAAAATCCTACCTACTGCTGTCGATTCTGCACTCAAGAAGACAGACTCAAACGGACAAGGACTGCCAAAGACGTACTGTATCTTGTAGCAAGAAATGAACACAGAATCTATGTCACTAGACATCTATGGTGAGACCCTATTCCTATCAGCTATCAAGTGCACTAACAAAACAATGCAATCACTGATCACATTCAATCTGACGCAGGATGGTTTTTCGTTACCGTTCACTTCCATTTCATCACCATCTCATGATGCTTCTGTGATGTCATTGTGGTACACGAGCAACATCAATCCATAGCGAGAACATGGAGGAATCGTGTCATGCTGAGGCTTCAACTCTGGATGTGTTCGGCTCCAAGTCGGTGAGTTGGGAGTTGGTGCAAGGCTTTGGCGCCTCTAGTTGAATCGAGGCAAAACTATGACTTTTATGTCTCGAAAGATATCGAATGATCTGGAAAACATGGGAGCTACAGCGGGCAATACATTGGCGACAAAGCAAAATGTGAGTTTTTTTTCCATTTGTTTCAGAGGCTCGTGCTATACAAGATACAAGATTAAAAAAGAGTCAAAGCATATCAAAGCAATGTCGAAACTTCATGTTGATGGTCTTCACCTTCAGCGCTGGGAAGCCTCCACGACATCCTTGAAGGTGTAGAAACCCTTGGCGGCAGCCACTGCATCCAATGGATTCACCTTCGAGAACATGTTGTTGGTGACGGTGGAATCAACGACGCCGGCCATGGAATTGTACACATCCATCACAGTGGCCTTGGGCACAGATGCCACAATGCGACCAATGGCTGCGTTCACAGCTTCGTAGTCGGCCGCGGATGTAACACCCTTGGCATCAATGCTGCCAATGGCCTTGTGGTGTGCCTCTGCTGCTGCCTTCAAGAGGTTTCCATCCATCTTCGCGCCCATCACGATCATCTTGTCAATGGCTTTCAGGGTCTCTGGGGCAGTCTTGCCGGGCAGCGGCTTCAGGTAAATGTCCGACAGCCAATCGATGTCCTTGATGAAAGGATAGGATGCATCGGACAACGCTTTTGCAGCTACACCAATCTTGTCCCCAGAAGGCACAACTGCAGGAGCACTGGCGGTGGTCACCTGGTTCTTTGCAACAACATCCTTGAATTCCAGGAATCCTTGGTAGGCCTTCTCGGCATCGGGTCCGTTCACCAAGGACTTCATGTAAGCTGGCACTTTGGAGTCCGTGATGTCTTTCACTGAATCGTAAACAGCCATGACCTTTGCTTTGGGGACCGAAGCGACTACACGGCCAAGGGCTGCATTCACGGCATCCCAGTCAGCACGCGAAGTCACACCATTTGGCCCACTGATGCTCCCGATGGCCTTGTGATGTGCTTCTGCTGCCTCTTTGAGAAGCTTGGGATCCGCGGCTGCCCCCATTTCGATCATCTTGTCAATTGCTTTCAACGCCTTCAAGGGCTGAAACTTGCCAGGGGCTTGGAGGAAAATTCCATTGTTCCAATCCACTTCCTTGGCAAAAGAGTAGGAAGCATCTCCAAGCTTCTTTGCAGCATCGCCGATCTCATCAGCAAAAGCCGCAGGAGCCATCATCATGCTGGCTGCTGCTGCGGCCACTGGAGCAGCATGCCGAGGCCCAGGCACAAAATTCAAGTGCTGCTGGACACTGCAGGCAACAGCCACCGCAACTCCGACAGCAACAGCTTTCCTTGCTCCACGCACCATGGCCACCAAAAACTAAAAGTGGGCCGGAGTTGCTCAAAAATTAGCCTCTGAAACTGGCTCGAACCATGTACCGCAGGATCATTGGGATGAGTAGATAAACCAAATAAAGGCAGGCCAAGCCCCAGCCACGTTAATCCATGAAAATCGTACCTACTGCTGTCGATTCTGCATTCAAGAAGACAGATGCAAACGGACAAGGACTGCCAAAGACGTACTGTATCTTGTAGCAAGAAATGAACACAGAATCTATGTCACTAGACATCTATGGTGAGATCCTTTTCCTATCAGCTATCAAGTGCACTAACAAAACAGTGCAATCACTGATCACATTCAATCTGACGCAGGATGGTTTTTCGTTACCGTTCACTTCCATTTCATCACCATCTCATGATGCTTCTGTGATGTTATTGTGGTACACGAGCAACATCAATCCATAGCGAGAACATGGAGGAATCGTGTCATGCTGAGGCTTCAACTTCTGGATGTGTTCGGCTCCAAGTCGGTGAGTTGGGAGTTGGTGCAAGGCTTTGGCGCCTCTAGTTGAATCGAGGCAAAACTATGACTTTCATGTCTCGAAAGATATCGAATGATCTGGAAAACATGGGAGCTACAGCGGGCAATACATTGGCGACAAAGCAAAATGTGAGTTTTTTTTCCATTTGTTTCAGAGGCTCATGCTATACAAGATACAAGATTAAAAAAAGAGTCAAAGCATATCAAAGCAATGTCGAAACTTCATGTTGATGGTCTTCACCTTCAGCGCTGGGAAGCCTCCACGACATCCTTGAAGGTGTAGAAACCCTTGGCGGCAGCCACTGCATCCAATGGATTCACCTTCGAGAACATGTTGTTGGTGACGGTGGAATCAACGACGCCGGCCATGGAATTGTACACATCCATCACAGTGGCCTTGGGCACAGATGCCACAATGCGACCAATGGCTGCGTTCACAGCTTCGTAGTCGGCCGCGGATGTAACACCCTTGGCATCAATGCTGCCAATGGCCTTGTGGTGTGCCTCTGCTGCTGCCTTCAAGAGGTTTCCATCCATCTTCGCGCCCATCACGATCATCTTGTCAATGGCTTTCAGGGTCTCTGGGGCAGTCTTGCCGGGCAGCGGCTTCAGGTAAATGTCCGACAGCCAATCGATGTCCTTGATGAAAGGATAGGATGCATCGGACAACGCTTTTGCAGCTACACCAATCTTGTCCCCAGAAGGCACAACTGCAGGAGCACTGGCGGTGGTCACCTGGTTCTTTGCAACAACATCCTTGAATTCCAGGAATCCTTGGTAGGCCTTCTCGGCATCGGGTCCGTTCACCAAGGACTTCATGTAAGCTGGCACTTTGGAGTCCGTGATGTCTTTCACTGAATCGTAAACAGCCATGACCTTTGCTTTGGGGACCGAAGCGACTACACGGCCAAGGGCTGCATTCACGGCATCCCAGTCAGCACGCGAAGTCACACCATTTGGCCCACTGATGCTCCCGATGGCCTTGTGATGTGCTTCTGCTGCCTCTTTGAG